TAAAATTCCATTGTGTATATATACCACGTTTTTTTTTTTTTCAGTCTTTTGGGTATACTCCGAGGAGACAGATAGCTAGGTCAAATGGTGGTTCCATTCCCAGTTTTCCCAGGAATCTCCATACTGCTTTCCATATTGGCTGCACCAATTTACCATTCCACCAGCAATGTATGAGTATACCTTTTTGCCCACATCCTCACCAGCAATTATTGTTGTTTGTCTTCATAATAGTTGCCATTCTGACTTGAGTGAGATGATATCTTAGAGTTGTTTTGATTTGCATTTCTGTAATTGCTAGAGATGATGAATATTTTTTCATAATAATTGTTGATTGATTGTATATCCTCTTCTAAGAAGTGTCTATTCAGGTCCTTGGCCCACTTATTGATTGTTTTTGTTTGTTTGTTTGTTTTTGGTGTTTAGTTTTTGAGTTCTTTATATACCCTGGAGATTAGTGCTCTATCTGAATGTGCGAGTAAAATTTGCTCCCAGTTTGTAGGCTCTCGGTTTACCTCACAGATTGTTTCTTTTGCTGAGAAGAAACTTTTTAGTTTGATTACATCCCATTTATTGATTCTTGGTTTTAATTCTTACACTAAAGGATTCTTATTAAGGAAGTTGGGGCCTAATCTCACATGATGAAGATTAGGACCTGCGTTTTCTTCTATTAGATGCAGAGTCTCTGGTTTAATTCCTAGGTACTTGATTCATTTTGAATTGAGTTTTGTCCATGGTGAGAGATAAAGGTTTAATTTCATTTCTTTGCATATGGATTTACAGTTTTCCCAGCACTGTTTATTGAAAATGCTATCTTTTCTCCAGTGCTTATTTTGGCATCTTTGTCTAAAATAAGATAATTATAATTTTGTGGGTTAGTCTCTCTGTCCTCTATTCTGTACCATTGGTCTACCAGTCTGTTTTGGTGCCAATACCATGCTGTTTTTGTTACTATTGTTCTCTAGTATAGTTTAAGGTCTGGTATAATGATGCTACCTGTTTCACTCTTCCTGCTAAGGATTGCTTTAGCTATTCTGGGTCTCTTATTTTTCCAGATGAATTTCATGATTGCTTTTTCTATTTCTACGAGGAATGCCATTGGGATTTTGATCAGAATTGCATTAAATCTGTATAGTGCTTTTGGTAGTATGATCATTTTGATAATATTAATTCTGCCTATCCAAGAACAAGGTAGTTCTTTTCATCTTCTAAGATTTTCTTTGATTTCTCTCTTTAGGGTTCTGCAGTTTTCAACGGAGAGTTCTTTCACCTCTATCATTAAAATGATTCCCAAGTAGCTTATTTTTTTGAGGTTATTTTAAATGGGGTAGTTTTTTTCCTCATTTCCTTCTTGGAGGATTTGTCACTGATATACAGAAAGGCCTTTGATTTCTGGGTGTTGATTTTACATGCTGCTACTTTGCTGAATTCATTTACTAGTTCTAGAAGTTTTCTGGTGGAGCTTTTTGGGTCTTCTAGGTATAGAGTCATATCATCAGCAAATAGTGCTAATTTAAGTTCTTCTTTTCCTATATATATTTCTTTAGTCTAATTGCTGTGGCCAGTGTTTCAAGAACTGTGTTGAATAGAAGTGGTAAAAGAGGGCATCCCTGGCTTGTTCCAGTTTTTAGAGGGAATGCCTTCAATTTTTCTCCATTTAGAATGATGTCGTCCTGAGACTTAGCGTAGATAGCCTTTATAATATTGAGATATGTTCCTGTTATCCCTAGTTGTTCTAGTGTTTTGAACATAAAGGGGTGCTGTATTTCTTCAAATGCTTTTTCTGCGTCTATCAAGATGATCATATGATTTTTATCTTTAGGTCTATTGATATGATGAATTACATTTATTGATTTCCATATGTTGAACCTGCTTGCATCCCTGAGATGAATCCCACTTGGTCATGGTGCACAATCGTTTTTATATGTTTATGTATTCAATTTGCCAAAATTTTATTGAGAATTTTTGCATCTATGTTTATTAGAGATATTGGTCTGAAGTTTTCTTTCCTTGATGTGTCTTTGCCTGGTTTTGGAATCAGGGTGATATTGGCCTCATAGAATGAGTTTGGAAGTGCTGCCTCTTTTTCAATTTCCTGAAACAAATTATAATATATTGATCTTGTAGAACTCGCCTGTGTATTCATCTGGTCCTGGGCTTTTCTTGGTTGTTAAATTTCTGATGGTGTCTTCTATTTCATTACTTGATATTGGTGTGTTTAAATTGTTATATCTTCCTGATTGAATCTGGGCAAATCGTATGCATTAAGAAATTTGTCTATGCCTTCAATGTTTTCTATTTTAAAAGGAGTATAAGTTTTCAAAATAATTTCTAATTATCCTCTGTATTTTGTAGTGTATGTTGTGATATTACCTTTTTTATCACATATGCTGGTAATTTGAATTCTTTCTCTCCTTCTCTTCGTTAGCATGGCTAAGGGTCTATCAATTTTCTTCATTTTTTCAAAGAACCAACTTTTTGTTCTGTCAATATTTTCAATTGTTTCTTTTGTTTCAATTTCAATAATTTCAGCTCTAGTTTTAATTATTTCTTGTTATCTACTGCTTTTGCTGTGGATTTGTTCTTCTTTTTCTAGGGCTTTGAGATGTAGTGTGAGGTCATTTATTTGTAGACTTTTTCTTCTTTTGAGGAATGAACTCCATGCATTGAATTTTCCTCTTAGCATTGCTTTCGTAGTGTCCCAGAGATTTCGATATGTTGTGTTTATGTTCTGATTTACTCTAAGAATTTTTTAATCTCCTCCTTGGTGTTTTCTGTGACCCATTGTTCATTTAGTAGCATATTGTTTAGTCTCCAGGTGAAGGATAAATTTTTACTTTTTATTTTGTCATTGATTTCCAGTTTCATTTTTTAGGTCTTAATATATCCTCGAGATGGATTGAATGCTGTTGTCTGTTGTGCAAGTGGTAAAATTTTTTCCCATTCTGTGGCCATCTCTTCACATTATTGATTGTTTTTTTGGTTTGTTTGTTTTTTACTGTGAAGAAGCTTTGCAATTTGCCATCCCATTCATTGATTCTGGCCTTCTTAGCATCTCAGGCACAGAAACCAAAGGTAAAATATCCATCACACTCATGATCTCTGTTACATGCCTGAGTCCCACTAGATTGTTTCCCCAATTGGCAGGGACATGAGAAATGGGCATTCCGCAGGTACTAAACAAATAGAGAACTGGGATAGTTACTGAACCCTCTTCCCCTTTCAGGTATCACTGAGAAAGCCTGTCTCCAAGGGCCTTTGAGTAGAAATGTGAGCCGCAACATGTCAGAGATGCAAGCCTCAGATCATACCTGGATGTAAATCTACAAATGAGCCGTTGTGAGGGGACAATGTTGGGTCACCAGTTCAACTGTGGTGATGGTGGAGCCTTTCCTCTGCTATCAATAGCTGTGTAACCAACATTGATT